AATTTTAGTGAAATTTAGCTTGACAGTTTTTCTTTCATGAATTACTTTTAATGCTGTATCTAAAAACTATTGGGCCGGAGATTTAGCTCAGTGGTTCCACCGCCTGCCTCGCAAGTGCAAGATCCCGAGTTCAATCTCTGGTACCAAAAACAAAACAAAACAAAAAAACACTCACTGCTAGACACAAGATTTTCTCTGTGTTACCACCTAGAAATTTTGTAATTTTGCATTTTATGGTTGAATCTATTCATATTGAATAAATTTTGTGAAGAGTGTAAGGTCTGTCCAGATTCTTTTGTTTGGCATGTGGATGTTCACTTGTTCTGGCATCCTTTGTTGGAAAGACAGTCTTTTCTTCAATGTATGGCCTTTGTTCCTTCAAAGATGAGTAGATTATTTGTGTGGGTCTCTTTCTGGGCTCTATTCTGTTTCATAGCTATATTTGCTGATATTTCTCCAATATCATACTGTCCTGATTATGTAGTTTTATTGTACGTCTTGAAGTAGGATATTGTTTATTCTCCGACTATAACCTTCAGAATTGTGTTGCCAAGTTTTGGGTCATTTTCTTTTCCATATGAGCCTTAGAATTAATTTGGTCAACATCCACTAAATAACGAAATTTTGATTGGAATTGCATTGAATCTATACCATAAGCAAATTCGAAATTCTTTGTGTTCATGCTGTTTCCTAATATGTAGGTTGTATTGACTCAAATTCAGCAAGTAGGAGTGGAACTGATTATATGCAGATTCAGATACAGATATACGTTTTTCCTGACCCATTTAAAAGTGAATTGTACATATAAGACCACACTCCTAAATATTTGAGAATAAATCTCCTTATAAAACTACAGTATCATTGCCACACCTAGGGCAGTTAGCACTGATTCATCAACTACCTGTCCTTACCAAAGCTTTTTTTTTGCTTTTTGTTTTTTAATGCCCTTTCTGTCCTGTGCACTGTGTCATATTGGGATCTGAAGACAACCAAAGGGCCTGATTTTCAGAAGTTCACAGACTTCTGGGAAGACAGACATCTAAGACATTACAATAAAGGGCACAGTTGCATTCAAAGAGTATGTGAGTGGAAATGTATCTGGAGGGATGAAGATAACTTTCCAGAGTGGTGTTCTGGAGCCTGTGCCCAGGCCCATGATTCACCATCCTGCTCCTGATGGGCATTCTTTCCAGCCCAGAGGGGTTTGTGTCCATTTACAGGTGAAAGACACGACAGACAGGATGTTATCAACTCTTTCTATTTCTGTGCAGCAAGGACTGACCAGGCACAGAGGAGTAAGGAGCAGGGTTCTGAGAACCAGACCAAGGAATGAGGACTTTATCCTCTAGGTCAGCAGCATTGAATAGACATGAGTTTGCCCATGAATGTGAAAGATCCAAACTAACTGTGGCTACACAAGACAGGGTTTCTTTTTCATGTGACAGTCAGGACATAGCTGCCTAAGGGTTATAATACTATCTAAGGTCGGATCCCCAAAATCCCCTGTGCTCCACGTATTCATCTTTCCTCCCCACTGATTATTCTACTGTCTCTAATTTTGCCTGGGTCCCGGGTTTGTGGTGGCTTATGGCTCTATCATTCCCTCCATATGTCAGCACCTCCAGGAAGGAGGGTGGAGAAAAGAGCAACATGCTCCTTTGCTTTTGCCCACATGCTGGAAATGATACACCTCTCTTCTGTCCACACCTCACTGGCTGGAATTTATTCATGAAGCCATACCTGCATGCAGGAAGGTACTGAGAAACACAGGCTTTATTTGGAAGGCCATATACCAAGCTAAAAATAGTAAGTTGTATTCTATGTAAGAAGAGAAGAGAGTGTATTCAGAAGCAACCTGCAGCCCAGATATCCCAGCAGTTCTATATAAAAAAAAAGCTTTCTATAAAATTACTGCCTTAAGGTGCTCTATGAAAACAGTGTATTGACCAGATGCTTTGGGGAAACATTAAACGATATGCTGATCTCATCTAGATTCTCAATACTGAGTGGTATATCAATGGCTCTGACAAGTCCTAGAGTAAAGGCATGTATCCATCTTTGTTTAACCTAAAGTAATTTAGCCAAAATACCCTTTTCACAGTGTTGTATTTATTGCCCTTTTTTTGCAGACTCCTCATTAGCTTTAGAATCACTGCTGATTCCTTTGCAGTGATGCAAATGTTTTTAAAGCTGTTCTGAACCTAATGATGTAGTCAGCAGAAATGTGTGCATATTGTGAGTCAAGGTTCAGACAGAGAAACGGAACAATCAGGGGCTGTAGTTGTTGCACAGACTTGATGTTATGTCATTGTAGGAGCTGGTGAGACAGTGTATAGGCTGTTGTCTTTATATCTGTTGGTGGAGCTCAGTCTGCTTGGCAGACAGTTATGGAGGAAGAGGCAAGCTGGGAAGAAGCTGGAATCATAAGATGAACAGGAGCCCTGGATCAATGTGTCACTGCCTCCGGTTTTTGTGTTGTGGGTGTCCTATAGCAGAAGCTGGTGTCCTTCATTATGGAATTGAGTATACCCATCTCAGCAGTCAGAGAAGCCAAAGGAGGGTCCAGGCAAAGACGGCTCCAGCCTCAGCAGGTGGGGCTGCTGCCCCTCACTCTGGTGAGCTTGTGGCTGAGCAGCAGTGCTCCTGCATGCACCTTCCAGATACAGACACAAACTGGCTGCTGCTCCACTTCCACCATCTGAATCTCAGCTGGAAATGTACAGGGAAGTGAATTCTGAGAGTGTGATTCAGCTTAGCTACTGGCCTGTGCGTTGTAAAGCCACCACACATGTATCTACCAGGTGATTAGTACAGAACTGTTTGCAGCAAGGCATCAACAGTAAAGTAGGTAAATAAATTGCTACATGATGATGATAGAGATAATTGATGGACAAATTGATGCTACTTGCATCAACATGGATGAATCTTACAAAAACATTGAGCAAAAGACAAAAACTATGGTTGTATTTATAGGTATTTCAAAATTGGCAAAATAGCTAATTTACAGTACATGAATTTGGAGTCCTGGTTCTTCTTCAGAGAGGATAAATGCCCTGGAGGGCACTGAGGGGGCCTCTAATGACCAAATCACGCTCTGCTTCCTGATCTGGGGGTCAGCTACACAGGCATATCCACTTGGGGAAAATTCAATGAGTTGTGTAGTTGCAATTTGTACTCCTTACTGGTTATGATGCAATAGGAAGTTTAAGTCAATTCAAGTTTTTCCAAGCTGTTGAGTAGTCATGGAGAGGCTAGGTTGGGGGAAAGAAACTAAGTTATAGCTGCTTGAACCCTGTAAGGAATGGGCTGAGTAAACCAGGCATTGGAAACGAGAGAAAAGCAAAGCCTGTGGAGGGCCATCATGGTGCTGCCCCAGGCTGTCCTTCCTCTGTCCTCATCCTGTGTTGCCAGTGTGAGGGGATAGGACCATGTATGCAGAGGACAACTCATGGGCTCTCATCTCTGGCACAGAGAGCCACCCGTGTGCTGGGCAGGGGACAATGTAATGCTGTGGACCCAGAGTAGGCCCCCAGAACCTTTATAATGTCCCTAGCTGTCCTGGTACATTCCACAGGGAAAACCCCTCAGGACTGTGGTAGTAAGGGACATGGATGGTAAGGGAGAAATACAGGAATGTGGGGGGAACTTGATGCTTTCAAAGCTCAGCCTTTATTTCCACGCTTACCTCTCTGAGTACTTTTTCTTCTCTTTAACTGACAAACACAAGGTTGTTCTGGCTTTTTAAATGAAATTTTAATCTCCCTCTTCATGTTCTTTATTTTAATGAATTAATAAATTGGTTGGAATTATGATTCTTCTCTTGAAACCATTTGGAAGTCCCTTGGACTGTCATGTGTGGGTTGGATAATCCTCTAGGTGTCTGCTGTATCCTGAGACTGGACTGTGTACTGTATTCTCTGATGCTCTGAACAATTATCTGAAAGCCCTCTGGGCTGGGATTATGGATGGTATTTTTAGTGTCTGGACAATTAGGATTCTGGGATGTTAATAAGTTTGCTGAGAAATAAAATCTTTCAAGTAGCTTAGTGTTCAGTTTTGAATTTTTTGAATTTGCATGAAAACAGTAGGGACTATTCCTTAGAGTTCTCAACCACCTCTAGGTTACATAGCTATTTGTGCAGTCCTCGAATTCCCTCAGTCTGGAGGATGCCTATTGCTGCCTCCTAAAATTCTATCTTACCTTACCTTGGATCTGCCTAGCATTCACCTTGAATTATATCCACAAGCACTCCCTTGAGTTATAATTGCTGCTCTCTTTCTGTAGCTTCTTGTTTATCTTTGGACTGAAATCTCTTTGTGATCAAGGATTATGTTTTCTTTTACTTCATATCTCCAACATCTAGCTCAGTAAAAACTCAGTGATCAGTGACTGAGTCTCCAGATTCTGGCAGCAAAGATTGTTGACCCTTGAAGAATGCCTGTGTTTGATGAGAGAGAGGGAGGAAGCAAAACTGCACTGATCAGGGCAGTAGGAAGAGATCCAAAATAGTATCCCGTCAGGGAAATCAAGGAAAAGGAGGAGAAATATTTGAGGATTCAGCAAATACTTTATAGAGGCAAATGACAATAAGAATTTTTTTAATAGAATTTTGGGACTTGTCAAAGTTATTAGTGGCTGTAAAAAGGTGAGTTGGAAATACAGAGCTCAAGTGACAAGGAAAGAGTATGAGATAAGATGAAGAAAATATTTAGAGAAGTGAGGCTGTGGGAGGAAGATTTGGAAGTGGCTGGGGAGAATGGCCGAACCAGATCAGCCGCCTGGAGGAGACGGCCGTGTATTTGAACACAGCAGGAGGTTCCTTCCCTCCCTGTCTCCTGCTGTCTGGAGTGACTCCCTGGGGGAAGAGTGAGCTGAACCTGTGAACATCTCCACGGTCCAGTATAGGCTGAGTCAGTAACACATCTTTTGAGAAGCTGCATGTGCTAAGTACTCAATCCTTTCTTTTTTATTTTAAATTTATATCCTCCCTTTCCCATAGGAAACATGGTGGAATGGTGCTTACCTCAAGATATTGACCTTGAAGGCGTTGAGTTCAAGTCTATGGCCAGTGGGTCCCATAAAATTCAGTCTGATTTCATGTAAGTACTTCCAAACCCAAGGCCTCTTGGACCATTTCCTTTCACTCCTACTCCCCATACTTTTTCCAGGGCATAAGAGCTCTCATCAGAGGGCTCTTCAGGTAGTGTGTGCAGATGCTCTGAAAATACAGTGTAGTTTCATGTTTGTATCAATTTTCTAGCAAGAAGATCTCTAGCTTCCGTCAAGTTCTCAGTGGACTTCATGACTCAGAACACCTAAGAATTCTTGCCATAAAGCTTCTCTCACTTGCTGAGAAATTATATGGGCCTCATTTGAAGTTTGGTTTTAATGAAAGAGTGGAGTTGTAGCACATTGTGGTTGAGGACATCTGTGTACTAAAACTTGAAGTTCCCACTTTTTAAATTTTTGGTTCAGTACTGCGGGGTTGAGCCTTTACATTGAGCTAGCTCCCCAGCCCCACCTTCTTTTTTAAATTTTAAGACAAGATCTCACTAAATCACTGAGTTGCCCAGGCTGGGCTTTAACTTGAGATCCTCCTGCCTCAGCCTCCCAGAGTTCTGAAATTGCAGGTGTGTGCCACCATGAAGTTCCAACTTTAAGGCCAGTTTGGAGTCCTGTATAATTGGTCCCTTGTAAGTTTTGTGAGGAGGGGAAAATGGCTAATTTGGTAGCTTTAGCTTCCTTATTGGACTGAAACCGTGACAGATACAAGTGGGAAAAAGGAGAAGGAAACAAGATGACAGCTATGTAGAAAAAAAATATCAGAGCTCAGGAAGTGAGAGAAGAACATGGTTTTTGCTAAGAAAACAGACTACTGGTTCTGGAGCGGCCTCGGTTCTGGCTCTGACCCTGACCATCCTTGCCATAAGCTGTGGTGGAGGAGAGGAGGAGAGGAGGACTGGGCCCGTGGTCATGGGCAGTTGGGTGGCAAGCTTGCCAGACCCCAGGTCCTGACTCCAGCAGGGTGGCCCTCAGCCTTGCCTGCCTCCTCTGAGGTTCAGTGGGTTTGCTCTAAGGCAGAGCTTTGTTACTTAGAGCTCTGCATACATTTAATTTGGGGGTAGTTTGGGGTTTTTTTTTTGAGGGATTGCATTTTAAAGAAAAATACAACACAATTTTTCTTCTTGATTTCAAGCCCAGTACCTGTTTGGTGTATTTTAGCTATTTTCGAAAGGGACCCTTCTTTGGCCTGGCCTGCTTCGCCAACATGCCCGTGGAAAGCGAGCTGGAGCGCGGTGCCCGGATGAAGTCTGTGGGTATCCTCTCTCCTTCCTACACCCTGCTCTACCGGTACATGCACTTCTTGGAGAACCAGGTTCGGTACGTGGCTTCCACACTCATGTGTACGGGCGGCAGCAGGACTGGCCAGCTGGCGCGCGTGCGCGTGTGTGTGCGCGTGTGTGTGCGCGTGTGTGTGCGTGTGTGTGTGTATGTGTGTGTATGTGTATGTATGTATGTATGGAGTCCACTGAGAGCAGCTGGGTGCCAGGACCACAGGGCCTTCTCTAAGCACACCCTTGGCGATGGGTCAGGCCTCCAGTGGTGTCCTTCCTTTTAGCCAACAGGCTGTGAAATACTTCATCTACTATGAATGCTGGGGCACGTTGTGCTTTCAGTTTATATTAATATCGTCAGCACTTTTGTTAAAGAATGTGTTGACATGTACATGCTCTTTCGTGACCCTAAGCCTCAGTAATTGCCTCCTTGTCCCAAATGGGCAGGTGGACTAAACTTTAATGCCTAATCATTCAATATTTGGGGTAATAGGAAGAGCATCTTTAACAGAAACAACAAAACTATAGTTACTGTATTTTTTTTTTATTATGCAAGTAGCCTACTTACACTTCAGATTGTGAGGGAGGAAATCTGTCTTTAATTCTGGAAGCACTTAGCACATTTACTTCTTTTCTGAGATGTATGTCTGTGTACTTTGAAAAAATATATTTGATAGCCAGGTATGGTAGTGCTTGAGCCCAGAAGTTTGAAGCCATCCCGCGAAAGAAGTGAGACACTATTTCAAAACACACACACACACAGCATTGGTACTATATATACAGTTTTGTAGCCCATACTTTAAAAATTTATCATTAAAGTTTTTATAACATGTAATCTGTCTTGATTATCATCTTTGAAAGAACATGAAATTGTAGAAAAAGCATTATTTTAAAATTTACATAAAAGTACAAAAGGATAAAATCCTTTCAAATATTAATACTTAGACATCCATTGTCAATAGCAGTATATTCTAGAATGAACTAACTTTGCTACATAAATAGGACTAATAATTTATGAAAATTTCCTTCTTCAAATAGGCTATTTTAATGAAATATATTTAACATAGTTGTACCTGTAGAGATAAGAGAAACTTGGTGTCCCATAAGTTTACATGGTTATGCCCTCTGACTAGCATTTAGCATGTTTCGTTTCTCTTAGGACCAGGGATTGAACCTAGAGCCTTTGCATTGAGCTATATCCCCAACCCATTTAAAATTTTTTTTTTTAATTTTGAGATGGGATTTCACTAAGTTGCCCAAGCTGGCCTTGAACTTGGGATGCTCCTGCCTCAGTCAGAGTGCCAGGATTACAGGCATGCGTCACCAAGCCTAGCTTTAGCAAGTCTCTCTACATTGTTGTTGTTAGCTGCTTCTCTACCTTTTGGAGCCGTGGCAAACACCTTCACTTATACATCTTTTTTGGTACTTGAACTATTTCTTCAATTTGTGTTTCAGAAGTGACATTATGTAAAATTTTTAAAAAGAATATTTTTATTGAAATCCTGACACTTTAAAAAAATTACTCCTTTAAGAAAAATTAATTTTCCAAATAGTACATTCTCGTGGTTCAAAAGCCTAAACATCAAGGAAGTATTATATTAAAGTTCTGACTAAACAGTAGTAAAGGGAGGCTGAAAAATAAATGGCTCAAATAAGATAGAAGATTTTTTGTCATGTAGTCTATAGAGTTAGGCAGGTTGTTGGGATGGGTCGCCTGCTCTGTTCATCTGATTGTTCAGGGCCCTCCCTCTTCTCTTATTCCCTCACACCCTAAAGTGTATTGTATTCTGAGTTGTTACTGTCCAAATGATCACCACTATCACATCTGCATTCCACCCTACAGGGAAGGGGAAAGAATGGAAATTGCATTCATCACTTGTCAAATTCTCAATCACAAAGACACACCTACCAGGAAAGTAGACTAGGAAATGTGGTAGCTCCATAGGTGACTCTGGGAACATATAAAATTTTAGGGTTTGGGTTATAAGCAGGAAGAAGAGAAAAAATGGATTTTTAGGGAGAAAATCACCTCTGCTTCTGCAGAGGCCACCCAGGAATCTGTGTGTGTCTCTTCCCACAGCAGGGGAGGCAAGGGAGTTGTATTCTGCTGCTGCTGCCAGGTTGAAGTCCAGGATTCCTGTGTGACATGCAGCAGTCCTTTGCATTAGACCAGGGGATGGCTCTTCTTACTCTGAAGACCCATAGAACAAGGGACAAGTCCTACACTTCTTACCTCTTGAATGCCATACAGAAGGTAGAGTAGGAGCCACAGTGCAAGCTGCTCTTCGGAAAAAGGGAGAGGGGCAGATAGAAGCAGTCATTAGTTGCTTGCAATAATGAAATTCTGTTGAGTGTGGGTTGTAAAGACTCCTTGTCCTGGCAGAGCAGTTTGCTCCTGGCTAAACCTGGGTGCTGCAGCATAGAGCCCCTTGTTCATTTTCCTCTGTGGCTCCTAGATTTGCTGTTTAAGAGGCTCTTTCTATGTCTTCCTCCAGAGCCACATCTGCAGAGTCCCAGGAGAACAGGCCCTTCTTGAAGCTGCACAGCTTCCGAACACACTTCTGCTGGAGTGAGTTGTGGGTCTAGTGGTTTCTTCAGGACTTCGAAGGCCACAGGCTTTTATAGGCCAGGCATATGACAATATATGTCCTTCAAAAATTGGCTTCTCCTTGTTACTGCCATCATTTCCAGGTCTCAACTCCCAAAGATCCCTTCTAGGTCATGGTTTCTAAGTTAGTGGGTTCTAAATTACTTACTGGTCTCTATTCTTGACTCATCCCCCCATTCCCTCATGTTGGCAACTACTAGGAGGCAATACTCTAAATTTGATCTTTACAAAAAGGCTGACTCCCTTGGTTCCCCAAGAATACTTAACTAGAAACTTTCACCAGTGCATGAAGAGAGACTCTTATCTCCTGCTTTTTAGGTACAGAAGCATTGGCTTTTCTAGTCCCACAGGGTTCCAAATTATTGGAGCCTCAGTTGATTTTTATTATTGTAAAATTTAGAACTCACTGCCCTTAGTAAGCTGAAGCTGGCCAACTGTTTTCCTCCTGTACCCCACTACTGTAAGAGCAGCAAGAGGCAGTCAGCATATGTCAGCATTCTGTTTCCAACTGCTTCTCCCAAGGCTACAAGTTCAAGTGATACAGGGTCTGTCTTGCAACTTACTGAAGTTTTAGCAAATGTTTTCACTGCAATTTAACAAGACATCTTTCCAGTCTTTGGTAGTTATTTTTTTCCATTGCCCTCCTCCTTTGGCTTCTAAGCCAATGACACAGTGCGGTTTTTGATACAGTAACTTATTTTTAGGTACCATCTTCTACTCAGGTAAAATACAGCCTAAGTTACTGTAATAAAGAGCAGACCCCCAAAACTGGCTCAAATAAGACACAAGAACAACTTTTCTAGTATGACAGTCCTAGAGGTAGAGAAGCATGCCAGTGTGGGTGGTGACTGTTGCACTAGTCATTATGGGCTCCAAGTCATTCTGTCTTATGCCATTTCCTAGAGTGATGTGCTCAGCCACATGGTAAAAGCTGACTCACTGTTATCATCTGTATTCTAACCAGCAAGAAAGGGAAATCTCAGAACTTGAACACAGAAGTATCTGGTCACAGTTGTTTGCCCATTCTTGATTACTAGCCACATCTAGCAGCAAGGGAGTCTGGGAAAGGTAGTCTGTAGCTGAGAGAACATGTGACCATCTAAACTTTGGAAGATTCTATTACTAAAGGAATACAAAGCAGCAGTCTCCACCACTGGCATAAAATGAAAAGTTATCACATCGTTGGCCTACCTATCTCACAATCTCAGTCATCACTGTTAATTTCTCATGTTTCCCAAAGTGTGTGTGTGTGTGTGTGTGTGTGTGTATACACAATACAAGCATGCATTTTTCTCCTCCTGCTTTCATATAGAAGGTAATGTGTTATGAATGTTTGCACCTTGCCTTTTTCACCCAGTGGTGTGGGACACTATCTTACATGGCTACATTGAGAGGACTTCTTTGTTTTCTACAGTCATATTCTATGCCCTCTGTAGACGAACAGTGCTTTATTTATCAAGTCCATTACTGACAGACATTTGGTTCTTTCCAGTCCATTGCTTTTATAAATCATGTTTCCCTGAGTACCATGAACAAGTATTTCACACGAGTGGCGTGTGTGTGTGTGTGTGTGTGTGTGTGTATATATATATGTATATATATATATATATGTATGTATATGTTAAATTTCCAGAAATGAAATTGGTTGTTTAAAGGGTATGTATTTGTAATTTTAATAAACATTGTCCAATTATTTTCCATAGAGGGTGAACCATTTTGCATGTTCCACACTAATGCAGGAGAATGCCTGCTTCATCACACTGCCAACACAAAAATAAAAGTTTTGGACTTTTGGCATTCTGATGGATAAAAAAATAGCACATTAGTATATTTTTAATTGTCATTTCTCTTATTTTAAGTGAAGTGAGCATCTTTATATATGTTCGGGTCATTTGCATTTTATTTTTGTCAGCTGTTTCTAGACTTTGCTACATACATTTTGTTGTTCTTGTTGGCCTTTTCTTATTTCTAAGAGTTTTCTGTATAATAAGGAAATGTGTTCTTTGTGATACAAATTGAAAATTATTTCCTACTTTGTCATTTGTCTTTTAGCATTACCTTTCTGTTGTATACATGTTTTTCTTCTTTGAATTCAGTAATCTTTTTATGGCTTTTAGATTTGGAATCATAGTAAGAAAGGTTTTCCAGCTTGGTGATTAAAGAGGACCAGAGGTAACTTGAGAGAACAGGCTTGTGAGGTAGAACGTGAAGAACAGAACCAGGTCTGGGCAGGCATAATACTTGCCTGAGCAATGCCTTTTGTGTAAATAAACTAGACTTGATTCTGCTACCCCTAATCTATGTTTTATATTCATTCTGACTTCTGATTCTCCAGACTTAGAGTGCTTTATCTATAGCTCTTACCTTTAATATCTCTCTAGAGAGCTCTTTTTATGATAATTTCTTAATTATCAAAAGATATTGGACAACTACTTCCT